ACGTACAATTATTTCCCAAAAATATTTTTGACAAAAACGCGCGAGATAAAAAAAAAATCAATGTCCGTTTTACGCAGAAAAGTCTCAACGAGCCCGAGAATTATTTTACGGAGAAATTCGCCTCGGGGTTGTTCGCCCACTTCCGTTACCGAGTATCTTGTACTCGTAATAGGAAATCGGAAAGCCCGGCAAAAACCCCCCAAAGGGGAGAAGACAAAACTCAAACCGAGTTTAGATAGCTTGCTTATTGTGCAGCCTGATGCAAACTCTACAATAAATAACGCTGTTAAACTTCAGGGAGGCTCAACCAGGATACGGGACGGGTGGAGGAGCTGGCAATCCCCTCTCTCTCTCTCTCCCGCGGGTCAGCCCCGCCCCGTTTTCACACAGCCACGCCCACCCAGCCGCTAGCCCCCCGGCCTCGCACGACGGCGAGTGGCCTCGCCCTTTGGGCTTTTGTTGCCCCCGCCGACTGCTTATGAGGCTCCGCACATTTCTCTGCCACTCCCCCCGCCCGCACCAGACTCAGGGTAGCCCCATCGATATCCGGGACGGAGAAACGATGACACTGGCGCAAAAAATCCCGACACGATACCCGGCCAAACCCTGGTTGCTTTCCCGAACCTCCAAGTTACTTCCCCTCCCATCTCTCTGCCACGGTGCCAACGTGGCAGCGAAGACGTCGGCAACGTAAAAACACGAAGTGCAACAAACGACGGCGGCCTCCACCGTTACCCTCCATTCCACAATAAATCAACTAATCAACACGTTCCGTGGCCTAATTTACACACCGTTTGCATCATCCGTGTTTTCATTTGATCCGGGTCGCCTCTTCCCCTCCCCCATCATTAACCCCCCTCACAGTTGAGCGTGGACGAACGACAGCGACCGAGCATCCGGTCATAGCCAGGAGGAGGGGTCGCAAATCTCGATGCGGGAAGCGGGGAGGAAAATAAAGTCCTTCGGCTCAGCGGACGCTCTCAGACGGCGGCGCGACCCTCCACTTACACGGCGCCCGCCCGCCCGACCCGCCCGCGCGCCCGTCCATTATGCTATCTATCTGGAGCCCGTCCCAAGTGCAGATTTATCGATGGGCCGTTCCCGCTCGTGTGGGCGAGTGTGGAAACGATATAACCCGCCGCGCGAGAGCCACGCTGGAAGCGCCAAAACGTCGTCGGCAAACGGCAGAATTTGGTGGAAAAACACGGTGAGAACGAGCAAAGCTTCACCGCAAGATTGTTTTGGAAACCCACGCTTTTAGTTCATGATCCGCCTTCGATGATCAAACGGTTTCTCTTCTGGGACCTTTTTTTTGCCAGTATAAAAATGATGAGAAAAACAAGGATACAGCCTTTTGGTGTTGTTCTCTAGTTTAACACTGGTGGTAATCGACCATAAAGAAGTCTGCTTTCTCTGGTGTAGGCCAATCGGTTTCAAAGACAATACAAGGATATTATCAGAGCATGTTTTGCCACAAGTGCGTGTGGTTAATGCAGACTTGATGCCTTGCAACAGATATATCTATTTTGTGTAGGAACATCCTAACACCTCGTGCTTAATTGCCAAAAAGGAGCAAAGCCTATTCTTATTTTTTCATCACTCGCTTTTCTCCAACGATCACTTTCCCACGATTCATTATAGAATTGAGGATCGCCCTGCAACATCCATCTCTTGCGCCAGGGCCCAAGCCGAGCACGCGACGCCGATCGCCGGAGGCGAGCGCAGTCGCAATCGCCGACAGAGAGGAAGCGCTCGCAGCCACAACACGACCGCCACTTCCCAACAGCCCCTGCCACAACAACCACAACAACCACAACCGGCCACAACAATCAGACACGTGCGAACCGCCATCCCCTCAGCCGCGAACAAAAATTCTCGTTTCATACGTTACCAAACCATGGGCCCTAAACCACGCGGGTAAACGAGGTGCATTTTAGCAGAGGCACTTCAATGCCCGCGCCCGCTCAAGGCGCCTTCCGTAAAAAATACTCAGCAGCAAATCGTTCGAAAACGCCACCCGCGTCATGGAACGGGCGACCCGGGCGTCCGTTCCCGGCCACGGTCCTGGGTGAGTCCCTCCCCCACCCCTCCCACCATAACCAACCCCCCCCGGCACTGACGAGTGTGGTGAAGTATGGTCAAAAGCCTCCCCAACGACTGACCAAAATGCACTTCTGGGAGGACGAGGCTCGGCGTCAAGGGCGAAAGCGTCGCCGCCGCCGCGAATGCTGCCGCTGCTGCCGCTGTTTTATTATTGTTTCAAAGAGAATGCCTGGAAGTCGAAGCCTTTTTTTGCCTATTTTGTAAGTCCAGTTGTTTGTTTCCCCTTCTACAATGAGGGAAAAAAACACAGCGACACCTTGGCCGGGATATCCTGCTCCGTGACGCGATTGTTTTTTGCGATGCGGTGGGGGGGAGGGCTTTAACGACACGCCACCCCCTCCAAACAACGCGAGACCTGTCCCGCGGACTCGCCGCGCATCCAGCAGCGGACGGAAAATGGCTTGCGGCGGAGGGTGGCCGCTCGGAGGAGACAACGCAGGAGCCAGCACCGCTGGAGCTACTGGGTTCACATCCAAGCCGATGGAGATGGCTCTGTCAAGCAGAGCGGAGTTTGATGGTTACCGGCGGCTGGGCGCAAAACTGAAACCTCACGGGGGAAAAAAAAAATGTTGTTTCTTCACTTAAAATTCAGCCGCTCCATCAAACACTCTGGTTTCGTTTAACACGTCGGCTTTCGCGACCAAAATTATCCATAAGAGGTTTCATTGGGGTTCTGTCACGTAAACAAAACGTGCCAATTAGCACACCGGTGTGTTGGAGAGTAAACCCACTACAAGATTTACAATTTGAGCACAGTGATGTTTCGCCGGTGATGACAACAACAACAACAACCAGCATCATCAGGTTTAACTGCCACGTGGCCAAACACTAGTGGCATGCGCTGCACCCCGAGCCTGGATATAAAAAAAAAAACATTTGGCAGCGTTCATCCCGTTTTTAATCTGAAATTATAGAATTAACTCTGACACCCACAAGATTTGGCACGCGTGTTTGCGAGTGCAGCAAATTCAATATTTTTTTAATCGATAAATCAGCAGCGTCTTTACCCGCCTTAGAAAAATCCCCGACGGCTACACGGCAATCCTGGGCTTGCCGTGGCAACCGCGGACATCGTCGCAACACGCAGAGACGGTGCCGACACGTCGCCGATGCAGCCGGTGCCACCGGTGCTGCCGCTACCGCCGCCGGCAGAGAGAATGATCGGTCGACCCGGGTGTATATAATCCCCTTCCAACGGGTCTCGGTAAGTCACGAGTCTCACCTGCTCACGCACTCACCAACCCACTCGCTCACCAACCCACTCACCCACAATCACTTTAAATGGACTGGGTAGCTCAGGAGAGAAACCTGTAGAAGTTTGGCTTCTCTGGAAACCTACCTCACCCCCTCACTCCCCAACCCACTCATCGACTCCCAATCACTCAAACACTTTGAATTGGAGTCGGGAGGTCACGGGTCAACGTGCGGAAGTGGGGCGACCCGAGCGACACCGCCGCGTCTGTTGATACGTTGAAGCAGTGGCACCGTGGGGGACTTCGCCAGGGCTACAGAACGGGGCCACATCACTATCACGAGCCAAGGTCTATCCACTCCTGGCTACGTCGTCATCATCATCGCGTACCCCGAAACTGGATAGGCATGCGACCGCGGTGGCAGCACACGGGGAGAGGAAGAAGACCGGCTAATGCCATCGATTCGGTCACGCTCCCTGTAAAGAAAACCTCCCCCCCCCCACCCCCGACACAAACCGCATCTCTGCAGACTTTGTGCAGCGAAGGAATGAGTGCACGTTAATCATCGCCGTCATCAGCAAAGATCAATGGATGAACTGCCGGATAAAGGCCTGGCCACTCCATCGTTATTCTCGTGGGTGGAGGATGTGTGCACGTACATATGATGCATTTTGAACTTCTTTAGCACCGTACGTAGCCAACCGTGCCAATAGGAGGTCCGACATGGGCAGGGATATGAAATGAGCTCCCATCCCAAACAGGCTGAAATATAATACATTTAATACGCCCACCGTTGCTGTATAGCGTCTTCAGATGCGCTCGCATTTAGACGCCCCGTAAAATCCAAAGGTTTACTTGTGCGTGTGTACAGCCATGTTGTCGATCCACTGCTGGATGAGGGCCTACCCTCCCAACCGTGCAGGTCACGGGAGACCATTCGACCGTACTTCTCCACACGCCGGTCAGCGTGGGTTGGTGAAGGCGGGCGGCACAGACGACAAAGCATAGTGCAGTACAACAAGGAAGCGGCCCACAAAGCGGCCTCGCAGAAGCAGAGCGGGAGACCTGTCTTTACTCGGAGGTTGCCAGGGCTCGGGCACAAGACCAGTAGGCTGCAGCCTCAGCGAGAGATATACGGGATGCTGTGTGCCGGGTGCGGTAATATTTTCGGGCGCCGCGGTGGCAAGATGTTAACGACCTCGCCTGGTATATAGAAGGTCGTGGGTTCGATCCCAACCCTGACGTCTGCTGTTTATGCAGAGAATGCGTATCTCTCTCCCCGTGGTCGTGTGGATTTTTCCCTCCACAATTAGACACATGCATTTAAGAGTATTTGGCTGCAATACATTACCATGCTATTATTTGTGGCAGCCAGTGTGTCTTACCTGGTAAAATAAAAATAGTTAATTTTATTTTTGGGGTCACTTAACCAGCCGATATTAAGCCACGGGCGATCGCGCATCCAAGCGCTCCGCAGGCAATCACAAACCGCATACCGATTCCTAATCGTGCCGTACAAACTCCCCGAGCCGCTCCCGAGTGACAATAGTGGGCACATCGTTTCCGAACGTCAAGCGGCAACAACCTCGAGATCCCACCGGCGAGCCGTGCAGCGCAACGGCGGGAGTCATTCCCAAAAAGACATGCGCGACCACCGCCGCCACCGCCACCACCACCGCCGCCGCGGCAAGCGCTCCCCCTCACCTATCCCCTCCGTCTTGTCCGGCGAACGGCTCCACCAGACCACCTGCCGCGTCTCGCCCACCACCTGGAAGGTCTTCCTCTCGGGACGCTGCGACTTCTTCTGCTGGAAGAGCGTCATGCTGGTCCCCTGCCGCAGCTGCCGGCACGCGGGCGCCAGCGTCTCTGGCGGCGCAGGCGAAGCTGGCCCACCGCCGACGCTCACCGTCTCGGCGGGCGGCGTCAGCGGCAGCAGCAGCGGAGACGGTGGCGGCGGCGGCAGCGTCGGCGACGGCAGCGACGGCGGCAGCGGCGGCGACCCGGGGCCGGGGCTGGACGCCGGCGGGGAGCGAGGCGTGGCCGGTCCCGGGGAGTCGGCTCCCGCTTGCGTCTCCATGCCGTTGAGCAGCATGACGCCGGAGAGGTCTCTCAAACTCACCGCCATGTTCCTCGGAGGCCCTGCGCGCGAACCAGACGCCAGAGGTTGTTAAAGCAGCCCAGCCCCCCCCCCCCCCCCCCCCCCATTGGTGCATTCAGAGGCCGCAAAGACTACGATCCCCCGCATAGCCCAAACGGACTATTGGGGCAAATGCTGTTAGCGAGTAGCCCCTATGAAGGCCGGCACGGCACACGAGGGGGTGGGTGGCCAGCACCGCGCTCGGCCGCCTTTGTCTCCCGAGTGGGCCATGTTTACACACCGCTCCAGGTACTCATTTATGGCCGAGTCGACCTAGGAAGGAGGCCCAGGAACGGTTCAGAGAATGGTCACCGATGTGCGGGCCGTGAGTGGGAATCGAACTGGGGTCGCCAGTTTCATAGGGGAGTGCGCTAACTGCTGCGCCACCGCTCCCCACACACACGCACACACACACGCCCGGCCTGCTGGCCCAGTGGAAGAGCGAGCGCCTCCTGGTTCAGGGTTTCACTCGGCCCATCGTTGTGGTTAAGCTCACAGACACCCCCCCCCCCCCCCCCCCCCCCATCATGGAAATGTGGAATTTCCATCTGGCTCTGCAGAGCTGCGAACAGGAGTAGAGGACTGCCTCGATGCTAATGCGAGCTGGAAAGCACTGTGACTTTGACGAGCACACAAGCTGAACGAGGGGACGTATGAAACATTAAACTGGACTTGCCGAAGTCGGACATTCGACAGAAGCACCTCTCTCTGAAAGTAGTTCCGCGACGCTCATTGGTGCAATGCTTTTATTTATTAGGGCTAATATTATCATTATCACCTCTTGGCGTTTCGATTTTATCACCACTCACTCCGCACAGCATTGCAACATCACGCCGTGGAAGGTTACCGGATACCGACGCGGCAGAACTACTTCTGGGAGTCGCTCGAGCCAGACTCTCGCTCGGCACCACACGCCGCACCTCCTCGCTCTCCAAGATCCGTTTGTTGACAAACGCGTGGACAATTCGGTGCATTGTGTAGACATTGCACTGCACGATTTACCGCAATGTGAAGTAACAATTCTCAATAAATGCGGCAGGGTTACTGACGGGCCGCTACCCATAGGATTCCATTATCCATCTTGATTTGAAGCTTTCGTGACTGCAGGAATCCATATACCCGTGGTTCTTTCGGTAAAGTCACGTAGGTAGAAAATAAAATAAATCACCACGTCCTGAGGACGGCCGCTTGTGTTGCGATCGAAACGTCGTGATTTGTTTTATTTTATACCTACGTGACTTTACCGAAAGAACCAAAGAGTATACATTATCCATACTTATCTGCAACAGTGAGACGACAAATTTAATTAATACGGTAGCATGTTAAGGCACTGTACTCAGTGTGCGTAATGATTATATATATATAGCGAGAGTGAGGCAGTCAGCCCTAGGCAGACAACAAACAAAGGTCTTGAGCCTGGACTTGGGGCAGGAAGTCGACAGCACAGACAGCTGGGGGTGAACAACGTTTGCTTCCTAACGAGGGGGGGGCTGTGGAGGAGAATGAGCGACCTCCCAACTCGGGCGAAGGTCAACTCCCCTTATCCGCATGGAATCTCACGGGTGAATGCAGATTATAGCAGCTATTTGTGAATGGTTAGCGGTGCACCCTTTGATCCTTAAACATAACGGAAAAGGGGAAATTTAGCGGTTCCGGAGACCGCTTCTGGGCGACGCAAAGCCGTGAACAAAACGCACGACGGACGCAATTTGCCACGTCGCTCGCCTTCGTTTCCGCGAAATTTCCGCGGGTGAGCGGAGAGATCCGACCCGCGGGAAAAAAAAACAATTTTAGCAGAGCGGGTCGCGGATAAGGAGAGCCTCGCCGCTGCACCGCAACAATGAAACGGGCCCCCCCGGTCGCTTCGCCACGGCTCGCCGCCAAGTGCGAAACGGAAGTTGCGTGGGCGCACGGCGGCGACGACGGACGGAGCGAGCGCCGAGCGAAGACGCTTTTTGAAATTGTCAGGAGCTTTTTTGTTCCTCCGGCTTTTACAAGTGCGTTCCATACAAGCTCGCCAAGTGACTGACAGGACTTCATCGACAGGATTGATGGGAACAAAATGAAACGCCGCCTCTGCTGGACACACCTAACCGCCCTAACGTTGCACAGAGCGATCCCGATGATGTTCAGTTCACAACGTTTCTCGTCGTCTCCCTGGCTGTCATTATTTTATTTTTACACGCATTTGTATTGAACTTGCCCTGTTGTCCGTTTATATTCTTTGGAATATTTGACGCTTAATCTTCGGATCTACGAAGCCTAACGAGCTGACATTTTCTAGACAGACTCGCCTTGCGTGACAATTCAAGATTCCATTAAAAAATCGGTCCAGGTCCCAACCCATCGTGGTCCTATTCACGTGTTTAACTACATTTTAATAATTAATCGTATATTTTACCCCCCCCCATTTTGAACTCACGAATGGTCCTTTCAATGTTTTATTATCTTTATGCAAGCCACACACTTTTATTGAGCACATCAAATGTGATTAATTCTGGGGTCAAAACAATGAATTTTCTACTTTTGTGTGCAAATAAAAGTGTGTCCTTTAAAAACCTAGTTTTTTATTACCTAATTATTTTTCCCAGCGCAGAGAAACTGCGGCCACGGAGGCGCACAGATTATAACCGAGTGCGCATTTTTCAAACGAAATCGAATTTTTATTTTTTTAAATGCACGTGGGGGAAAAAAGCACGACAGCCACGCCACTTACAGAGCACGACGGTTAAACAAAGTGGCAGAGAGTCAAATCTCGGATGCCGAGGGGCAGGGGCGAATGTGTGATCATCGATCTTGGATGGGCGGCCACAATTTGTTTGAAAAAAAAAATTTACCAGTTGCTACAGGCAGCTACGTGGTGGGCAGCAGAGGGCAGTGCAGAAACATCCATTGTTGGAATGTTCCTATAAACGTATACTGTGTGTCCATGCACCCCGCGGCATCACCAACCTGCACTGACCAGCATGGTGAAGTATGGTCAAAAAATCCCCCCCCACTATGATGCTCACGGGAATGGGATGTTGAACGTCTTTCGCACCGTACGTAGGCAACCGTGCTGATCAGAGGTGTGGGGGAAGGACTCCAAACGATGGGTCTCTGCGTGAGTCTATGGGTCTCTGCGTGAGTCTATGGGTCTCTGCGTGAGTCTATGGGTCTCTGCGTGAGTCTATGGGTCTCTGCGTGAGTCTATGGATCTCTGTGTGAGTCCATGGGTCTCTGTATGCACGTTGAACTTCTTTTGCACCGTACGTAACCAACCGTGCTCATGGGAGGTGCGGGGGACGGACAACAAACTAAAACACAAAAAGCATCTCTAAAGAAATGAGTTTTCAAACTACTGGATTCAGGATGGCCCTAATCTAGCAGTGGCTTGACAAAGGGCAGTACAATGATAAGTAATACTTGTCAGCCGCGAGTTGGCCTATCTTAGTGGAGGTAATCACAGACAGAGAGCCGAGTTACAGTACTCGTGTTGTCATATCAAGAGCCATCGCGAGAAGGCGCAGAAACACACGAAGTAGCCATGAAAAGTCGCCGGATGATTTCTCACTCGACCGATGTTACAACACGCGGGAATTGTTGAACTCCGGGTGCCACGATCCTTAAAACGCAAAACGTGGACTTTGTAAAAGCCACGTTCCGGCATGGTTTACAAATATGCTATCGAGTTTCCTTTGAAGACTGCTACGTGACAACACCGTACTCACCGGGGTACGGCTTCGTTCACCAAACATGACAAACTGCATGTCAGGGTGCGGTATGATTTTTTTTTTATAAACTGGACAATGCAGGTAATAGATATGTAAAGAGTAACATTAAAAACAAAATACAAGCAGATTAGTTAAGGTGACCATTATCCTTTCAGGCCTAGTTGAACCGTTCATTTGGCCGCTACAATTTTGCTGCCTTGTAAATTTGTTTTTTAAAACAGCCGAATGTTATTCTGAACAGACGTTTCTTCTCAAGGCACGAACAAATTTGATATTGGCCGTGTGAGGGGCACACTCAGGGCTAGATCCTATTAAGCCGATTATCCGTGTAACTGATAATAGGGTTTATTTTCCGGCGCTTGCGGATCACCGCCTCTTATCCGTGCGACAGTTCGGTTATGGATAACGTCGCTCGGTTGTTATGGATCACGTCGCGTGTCAGGGAGACCGCTTCCGAGCTACTCGTTAGTTCCAGGGCGTGCATCACTTCCGTTTCATTTCCTCTTATCCCCCATCACGGCTCGGATATTCTCCGTCCCTCTTTCTGCATTTCTCCCACTCACGCGGTGGAGGGGGGGGGGGAACCCTCCTTCTCCAATCATCCCTGGACGGCTTGGGCATCTATAAGTCCACTCCACAGTCCTTCACATCCCTATTTCACCACTTGGCACCACCTCTCTCTGGGTCCTCCTCGGCCTGCCGCGCCCCGGTGGCTCCACGTTCGTCGCCTTTCTTCCGTGGATTGGGATTTTCTCAAGACAGTACTTAAGACATGCCCCTAACAAGCAGTCAACTTTCACACTTAACGTGGCCTCAAAGTGCACATAGCCTTGCATAAGCGCCGTAGTGACATCACCACCACTTAGTGGCAAATGGCGGTTGTTGTTGTTGGCTCAGATACTAATATCAATATTCTGACAATAAACTCATTTATTTATTTTGACCAGGTAAAGCCCCACTGAGCTATGAGCTCAATTTCAGAAGCAACCAAACAACACATGATAGCTCATTGAAGTGGCTTACATCATCGAAAGTGGGAATTTATAGTCGCAGCCAAATAATCTAAAAGCACGTTCCTTTTTTATTATTTATTGTATTTCAATAGAAGCCCAACCCAGAGCACAAACTGTGCCACGTGGGGGGTGGGTGGGGTTACACTAAAAGCATGATTCTAAATGGGAGAGAAAAACCGAAGGAACCCAGAGGAAAAATCTCCGCGACCACGTGGAGAGAGAGAAAGAACACGCAAACTCCAAATATACAGCCGGCATTGTCAGGGTCGGGATCGA